GGAGTATCGCGATCGGGCGGGAGCTGCGCGCTGGGAGCGACAGGGATGCGCCAGACGCTGCAGCTCCGGGTTGTTACGGCTGAGTTTGTCCTCGACAGCCTCGGCTCCTTTTCGTACGTGCACGGAGCAGTGCTGCCGCACGTGAGCCAGTCCGAGAGTGGTGGAAAGTCATAAGCAGGGTGCGGGAGTTCCTGCTGTCCTGAAATACCATAGTGCTAAAAAGCTTACAAAAGCAGCCCATATGTTGAAATAATCTGATTTGCCTGAAAAACGTGACCTTTAAAACTTGCTTACAGACAAGGTGTGGGTCTTAATATACTTTTCTCAGCAGATGAACTGTTACAGCAACATTTTTCAAGGCAATTACCCAAGTTGTTAGGCGGTTCAAAAGAAAACCTCTATGTGTACTTTTAACTAATTTGGCCCCGAATGCACAGTGCCCAGTGACATCTAGTGGAGACAAACACAGAAAACTAAACCGCCCGTGGCTTCCAAATCTGACAGTGATGTGAACAAACACTGCTGAATCAAAACGAATATGGCTGGATTCAGCTCTGCAACCACACATTTTGTTGCTGGCAGTGAAATGTAATTACTCCTGCGAAATACCCGCAGATAAAACCCCCAACTTCCTATGATAGCAAGGTGTCACAAACACCACAAAATTGAGACATCTCTAACAACAGTGTTTTTCTGATCTTGCTGTATTCTTTCTGAGTTATCGGTAGCAAGCAAATAGTGCGACAGGCCATTTACAATGAGATCAGAAACACTAATGCGTGGTCTGAGACATCAAAGGTGACTGAATGCCAGCCTCCTGCAGCACGAACGCGTTATCCAGAGGGATAACTTCACCGTTGGCACTGACAGGGAAGAAGAGACGATGAGGTGCTACTCTGGCTCTAGTCCCCAGGATCAGGCTGCTGCAGAGAGGAGGTGTGCAGAGCCACGCAAGGACTGCCCACTGTCAAAAGGGGGAGAGAAAGTAAATAAATTTTTAAAAAAAGAAAAAAAAAAAAAAGCTATTTGTGTATCGCAGTGGGCTGTGCCTTGGGGTCCCGAGCCAAGGTCCCAGCCCTTGCGCCAGCTCCCAGGGATCTCCTGGGTAGCTCGCATTGGTCGCGTTGGGGAGCTCTTTGTCCATTAAAGGAGCTCAAGTGGCTCTCCCAGAGGCCAGACAAGAGTCAAAATCCTCAGGAAAACGCCCCACACTGGAGCTTTTCTAACAAAAATCCGGTGCCAAGTCTTGGTAGAATTCAATTCCCCTCTCGTAAAACAAGATAAAAAACTAAGCTGACTTGTGACCATCCATCAGTTATCAGAGCAGACAGGTAGGAACCCACAAGGAGGCCTTTTCGTTTCAGTGAAGCGACTGCCTATATCTTTCTTATTCATGGCAATAACTGGAGTGATGCCAGCTCCTGTTGCATCTCCCTGATCGGGCTTTAGGTTTTGGCAGAGCAGCTTTCACAGGTGCCACCGGCGATGCTGGCTCAGTGCTTCCGTGCCAGCAAGGAATGGCCGCTGCCCAGCCCGGCTTGCTGCCCGCTGCCTGGGGAGAAGGCAGTCGCAGCCATGGGGAGGGAAACAGGGAATAAGGATGGAGACAGGCAAGTAGGAGGCTCTTGGGGGGTCCTTTTCACTTCCTTCCCCACCAGCGGCACCTCATTGTCTCACTGAACCTGATGAGTTTTCATTCTTTTGACCTTATCCTTGGGGCCTTGCGGGAGACACACATTGATGCTCAAAGCCTTAGTGCCAACAAACATTGTCATTCCCCAGCTGCCCTACATATCATATTTGCATCATATTATAGCCATGGACCATTACGAAGCTGCTGAGGAGAGCGAAGGATTTATCTGTATTCACCTACAGGAGGGGACTATTCATGTGCGATTTTGTTTTGCTCAAACAC